TTCATAACATACTTCATACCGTGTACATTATAACATACCATAATAGACCCATTTCTGTAATATACTTACATATCTATATTATTGCTAATATATATTGTAATATATCTATATCACTAAAGCACTTCTGGATGGATGCAAACTGCATTTCGTTGCCCTGTACCTGTGCAATGACAATAAAGTTGAATTCTATTGTATTCTATTCTACACAAGGCAACTCCCACAACTAATCAGACACTATAGCTAAACTAACCTGTGACACTAATGCAACACCTACAATGAAGAAAGGCACCACTGACAGTACACCTGCAACTAATAATGCCAATGGAACAATAGCAACAATAGCACAAAAACAAGGATCACTTTTGCAACTTTTGCAACTTTATTTGAGTTGCAGCAACCTTAAAAAAATGTGACTAAAGATTCAAACTTGGATAAGAAATGTAAAACAAGCACTAAAAACCTGTAAGTAAGCATAGCTACTGCAACCCAACAAACACATTGAAGCAATGGCACGTCTGCAACTAATTCAATGACTGAAACTAGAAGCAACATCATCAGCAAAGTATAGTACCAGTCGCAACCACACAACCTGCAAACTACAGCAGCATCTTCTACAAAACATGGTAACTTCTGTAATTAAACTAGCATCTGAAACTACATATAGTAACTGCAATCAAAATCAATTTCATCATCAGGCCCTGTACCCTGCCTCTTGTCCTAAGACAGCTGAAATAGGCTCTAGCACCCCCCGCGACCCTGAAAAAGATAAGCGGAAATGAATGGAAGGACATTATTATGATTAATAGTTTTACTACCAGTGATGTAATAGCAGTGATAGCTGTGCATGGTGTAACAGTAACAGATGGATAAACAGTGTTGTGGAGTAATGGAATACATGTACCGCCGTTACGTATTTAAAATACAATATATGAGTAACTGTATTCCAATGCTGTTGGTATGTGTCGAGCTGTGAGCTGAAAGGCTACAGCTGGCTGCATGCGTACAGCAACCGTGTGTGAAAAGTGGTCAATAAAGAGATGCTGAAAAGCATGTTCAAGGAAACATTGTCGGGTCTGCCGTGATATTTTTACAATGGGACTTCTGCTCCTGAACCTCTGCACACAGCGTCTGCAAATCGGGGCTGTACGAAGTCACTTTCATCTTTACGCAGGACTGTAAGCTGTCATCTGTGAGGCGTGAGCGGTGTTTGTTTTTAACATAGTTCA